GCCGGGCCAGCGGCACGGGTTGCGTGCCCCCCGTGATCACCAAATGAAATTAAATAGGCCGCCGCTTCGCGGCGGTAACAGTCAACGCTGCGCCCGTCCATTTACATGACCCAGCCCCCACCTGGAAACTTGCCCAGTGTGTCCTCCTATATGTCATTCTTTTGTAAAGTGATCTGTTTGTTGTCTATTGCATGTTGCATTCGCACAGACTGGTTTCAATATGGGGTTGTTTGGATTTATTATTGTTATTATTATTATTATTATTATTATTTTAAAGATCATCCATGGGGGTGTTTAGCTAGGTGAGCATCAATTTCTAGGTGAGCGTTCAACTTACAGGCAAACCTTGCGAATGCTGTGTTCATGCTACCGTCTTCACCCGAATAGAACGCCCAGTCATTATAGCTGCATTTGGCACAACTTTCAGCCCAGATACGGCGATAATTACTGGGCGTTCTATTCGGGTGAAGACGGTAGGAAAGCATGAACCTTGACACTATTACGGCCAGCAGTGGGCGCTGCGACCATGAAGATTACCATAAACTTCTACGAAGACGATCTGACATGGGTGTGCTATTCATACCCACTGTTTATTTTTCATGTGCTGTTCATTGCTATTCATGCATGTCATTGCTTTTCCATGTGCTATTCATGCGCCTTGTTTTTCTGTTTTGATATGCCTGTTGTTTTTAATTAAAAAATATCAGTCCCAATTCCAAAAAAGGGGAAAAAAAACGGTGGTCCCCCCATTGTGCGTTTTGCATCCTACCATGGCCATTGCCATTGCTGTCCAGCCCATACCAAATGAGCAATAGCTGCAATTACCCACCCTTACCCTTCCGCGGTAGCAATCACATCGCTTACCCCCCTTGCTTGCATGCATAGCATTTTATGATCCCCTACGACATTCCTCTCCCCCCCGCTCCTCCCTCCTCATTGTTACGCCCCTCCTCCTCTGCTTCTAGCATGGATCGTATCTTGGGCCCCCCTTGCAAACTCACCCTTTTTCCCCCTATGGTATAGATGGCATGTTGCAACCCCCCACCCTCAATAGCCCCTCTTCCCCACTTCCCACTGCCCATTTGCATGGGGTTAGCATTTTACGATCCCCCCCCCCTTGTTACACCCCTCCTCTCCTTTCTGGCATGGATGACATCTCGGACCCCCCCTGGGCATTCACCCTCCCCTGTCCTATGGTGTACGTGGCATGTTGCAACCCCTCACCCACAATCCCCCCCCCCTTCTCCACTCCCCACTGCCCATTTGCATGAGTAGCAGCATCTTGCCACCCCCTTCCAACCCAATTGTCACCCCTCTTCTTGCAACAGACAGGATCTCGTCCACCCTTCGACCCTTCCTTTCCCTCTCCTTTCCATGGGAATATTAGCGTCTTCCACTCAACCCCCCCCCAACCCCCCCCCCCCTCCCCCCCCCCTTCTCCTCCGTCAACTCTCACTGGCAGGCTCCCTTATGTTGACAGCATCATGTGATTCGGGACCCCCTCAACACTCTCCTCCTACCCTTGGGTGCATGCCATGTCAAGACCCCTCTCAATTCTCCCTGGGCCGCTTCGCGCCCGCCTTCTTTGCATGGGTAGCATCTTGCAACCCCCTCCCCCCCCCCTTCCCCTTTGAAACTTTCACTCAGTTCTCCCTGTGTGGGTGGAGCACACCCTGCACCCCCACCTTGACACTCCCCTTTTCCACTCTCCCCCCTGATTGCCAGTGAGTGGACGTATGTTTTCAGACAGGAGCAGAGACACGACTCTTCGTATAGCTGTGACATTGTAACCGCTTTTTTTGTCTTTCTGGCATATTTCCAACAGGTTGCTGGTGAGATGATGTTGCCGGTGAAACGACTGTTCTTTCAGTCGGGAGTTCTAACATGCCTGTTGGATGAGCTGCGGCTAACAAAGCTCAAACAGGTGTGCACGCTCATCTCTTACTCTTAGTAGCCACTCCACATTCCTTCAATTAGGTGGAGGCCAGCAGAAGTCTAATTAGGGCTTTGCCTGTCCGAAGTGCCTCGCTCAGCTTGGAGCTACGGCGACTCTTGTGAGGGACACGGGCCCGGTTCCCAGCTTTGTATTTTTAATAAATGTCGATATTTTTATTCTTATTTTTTTTAAGAAGTCTGCGAGGATCTGGGTCCTCGGCAGGCCTAAGGGGCCCAGTTGCAAATGTGCCCGCCCTAAGTGAAGGTGGGCCTAACAAATCACGAGAGGCCCTTATGCTGCCAATTTCGTATTTGGGGTCCACGCAGTTGTGACGCGCCAGTTGGTTGAGGGAAACACAGGCCGAGCAACAAAAACATTCCACGGCCTTCTGGGACTTTCCAAAAATGCAGGCCCTGGGCGAGAATCGCAGCCTCATACACAGACAGTTGGGAGGCCCAACTGAATGAGGCCCAGTAGCTGCAACAGAGTCGCAGTACCCTGGGGCCTACCGGAAGCTTCTGGGCCGAGGCCCAGGCCAGCCAGGCTGCGAAGGCAGGCAGGCTCTTTCCATTTAGGAAAGAGCTCGCTGCCTGGAGTGGCATTCAGCACTTGGATGCTGGCAGCAGCGCTGCTGGAGCAAACGCTCGTGGGCTGCTGCTGGCGCTGAGAGGCAAGGTGCTAGCGCGTGCGGTCGTGCGGGGAGCAGGGCGCTGCTGAGGGAAGCGCCATAGCCCAGCCTCCATAGCTGGTTGGGCTTGGACTACAGTGAGGCACAGGGGTGGTCTTCGGGTGTACAGAGGGAAGACGTGGGCGTAAGTCAGGGGTAAGAGAGAAGGATGATGATGATGATGATGTGAGGGCACATACCTGGTATTGGCGATGGTCTGCATTGGGCGACATCTTCAAGTACTTTGTGGGCTGCYGACGTCAACAGTTGCATTGTCGATTAGTAGGCAGACTGTAGCTGCGTAGGAAGTAGGCTGGGCGCCGAGCGCCAAGTAGGGAGATAGGACCTGGACACTCATGTTGGTGGTGGCGAGAGCAAGCTCTCATTGACATTGGTTTTCAGTGTTACGATTCTTCATTGGTGTTATATTGGTGCATTTCTGCTTTCTGGACACTGTGACACTATCTGGCCTTCAATGTGATTGTGCATTCTGGACATTGTCATCTCGCTATTGCTCATTTTCTTTGCAAGTCTGATTCGTAATTATTAATTACTAACTAGCAAATAATAAGTTTCTCAAATAGCACTTGTTATTTTTACTTGTTTGCCAAATTGCAAAGGCTCTTGGAGTCTTGGATCATTGTCAGTACTAGTGTTTTTTTGTTTTTGTTGTTTTTTTCAATTCCTTGGTTGAAAAACTTGAAATTTGAAAGATTTCAAGGACACCTTTTTCAGTGAGCAAATCTGAAATAATTTAGGGTTTCTGTAGTCATGGATTCACACAAGGCTAATTTAGGGTTTCTCTAGTTTATGGCTCAGTCAAAAGTTCAAAAGTAATTTACAAAATTTTAAGTTAGAAAATTTGAGCAATTAACCTGAATTAGCTTCAATTAGGGTAATTTGTGGCTTTGATCATTTTGCAGTAACCTTGTTCAGCAGCAGACCGGGGCTCAGAACGTTGCCCCCGGTAAAGCACAGACTCAGTTGTCTGCTCTGGGCTATGTGACCGAGACATGCCCAGCCTGAGTCTGTCGAGGAGGCTGTGTGACCGAACGCAGCACAAAGGAAATTCAACAGTCAAAGTCAACTGTAGAGTCAAAGGTACCGCGCCCAGGCCTATGGTCGGATACATTCACTTGTTGTGTGCAGGTACCCAGACAGCATTCAGGGCGGGAGGAATACAGTTTCTAGCCAATCTGGGCCCTCCTTCACCTAGAGATCTGGACGGTGCAGTACTTCAGCACCCGGGGTCCAGACCCCGCATCCACGCTATTTAAGAGTTGACTTCCTGGCTGGAGRACATKSAGTCTYGCGTGAATGCTGACTTCACGCGTGGACTTGACGCTGTTGCTATGCTGCGACATTGCGACATTGGCTTGACGCCGGCTATATGCTGGCAGAGGAGGACGGCAAGGCGCTGCTGGCTGGCGATGGTCTTCTGGGCATGCTGACGCGGCAGCTGCCACGCGCCGTTGCTGACATGGCCGCTGCCACCTGTATATGATTGATGACGTGGCGGGCTGCGAGATTGATGAGGCTGTTCTGATTCTTTGTCACTTCGGAAGGGGATCAAGACTGTGGTTATCGAGGATACGTACCTGGTTGATGACGATACTCTCCATTTGCTGATGTAGACAGATTGACGTGCCACGTGGCACCTTGAGGAAGAACTTCAGACATTGTATTCAGTCTATTGATTGATGAGGTGGCGAGGAGGAGGAGGAACCCGAAGTAGAAGTGGGCTGTTGTCTTCTTCTCTCTCCTT